CGAGTGGAAAAAAGCCAAGGGTGGTCAAGTTAAGACCTGGCACGAAGGTATGAAAACCCTAAACAGGAAACAGGGTCACATAGATCCTGTTACGCTCCCTGGCCAGGGACCTCGGGATGATCATAACCGATGGTTAGAGACACTGAGGGACATGGCTGGGTGTCGTAAACAGTGGCGTTCTTGCATCTCCTCAATTTCTTCTCAACCTTAGGCTACTGAACTTCTCCATTTTCCTTTCGACTCCACTTTCAACTCCCCTTCTCCAATTTTTCATCCCACTGGGCAGCCGAAAGACAGCAACCAACACCGGCTCTCGAATATGCGTGGTTAATGGTTGTTCAAACTGAAACTGGAAACTCAACAATTTTGTCTTTAATTCGAGTCGAAATGCGCTCCACTTTGTAGATTCACACATGGGCGAATCATTTATCACTGTTTGTTCACATAATCCGGGCTTTGGAGCATGACCGTGTACTGAATGCTGAATAATTTTGTTGCTTTCTGCCCGTTTTAATACCATAGTCCGTGCAAGCTGCCCGTCCAATGGGTCGGTCACGATCGAAATCAAACTTAAAGGATTCGTCCCAAACCTCTGTATCGGCAACGCCACCCGACCAACAGGTGCGTGAGCTCCCATTTTTCTGTGTTCTCCTTTTTCCTGTATATCAATGAAATTCCTGTGATTCGTTTATCTGGTTGAAGTACTGAGGCAAACGAACCATTTCCAATATATGTTCTTTGAATTTGATCGTGTGGTGTGCGGTGGTAGGTCTGAACCTCGTAATAATTAGGACCTCTTCATTTGGGTTTGTTGGCAATTCAAGGCCTGAAATTCGGACTGGCGAACCACCGTTAAGCACCAGTTATCCCGCTATGTGATCTTCATCTCTCCAATCACAGATTTCAGTTCTTGTGTCTAAAGCCTTGTATTCGATCTCGATACCACCACGTGTGCATTATTTATCGTCCCATCAACAATTCTGATTGTTCTGTTTAATAATGTTTTTCAAAATGTTGGTATGGAATGAGTGGCTGAAGAAAAGCTATGCGATTGGGGATACGGTGATGTCATCGGTTGTCTGTTAGAATGTATGGGGGACGCACAAAGCGTACTTGACAGACTTACCGAC